CAAAGACTTCTCTGGAATTACAGCTAGTTTGCACATAGAGGCAAGAGGAACTGTAATGGCAGGAGCACTAGTCCACACGTTGCAGATCTACAACTCCCAGGACCATCAGTCAGCACGGCCAAAGTAAAGGATGCTAGAAATTGTAATTCACCATCCTCAGAATGGCCACTGCCCACTGTTGATTCATACCTTCTTATTAGAATTAAACTAGGCAGAACATAGTCTGTGTCCTGTGCTGTTCTGCTCATCCCTGATGCTACTCAGAGTATCAGTAGAGAAAGAAACCATGTGGCTTTCTCTCCAATTTCATATCAAGAACATTTCAATGTTTGATGCTACTTTTGCAGTCACTTTGCTAAGACCACGGCAGCATAATTATGAGATGACACACACCGAATCCAGCATCTCTTCTCACATTATCCGATCCAAATGTTAAGAGTTTCAATTACCATCAGTAAAAGATCTATATTAAGCACTCAGAAAAGAGCGTGCCTTGTTTCTCAGCACAACTTTTCTCCCAAGGGATATACAATTGGCAACTTGCTTTACTTGCACTGCCAAAATAAAGCTATTATCATTTCTTTACTTGATTCAGGATGAATAGTTATATGCCTCTTATTTGGTTCTTGCTATTTTTATACTGCATGTGTCGTAGCAGGTAGCAACACTAGCCAACCTTGGCTGATCCCCTAAATAGTTAAGCAGGGTTAGACATGGTTAGTATTTAGATGCATTGCCACCAGGAAACCAGGCTGTAAGCTAGACTGGGAAGTAAAAAAGACATCTTGGAAGAAAACAGTGGCAAGTGGCTTTTGTATTACTGCCACAGAACCTGCATGGATGTGTCACTCCCATCACCCAGAGTGATGTGGCCAGCTAGATGCCTATGAAAGCCTACAAACCCTGACCTCAGTGGCATTCTCCCTCCTGTTTTCCATCATTGCTAGAATCCAGTACTGTCTCTTGGCCAGACTAATGGCTACTGATTGCTTATTTGCCATGAATTTTTCTAATACTTTTTAGAGCCATCACTGTGTCTTGGAAAAGCAATTTCCCCAATTTTAACTGTGCCATATGAGAGAAATTCCTTCCTTTTACTTTCCTGAATCTTGTAACATTTGTTTAGGAAACATTATTTTGTGGGGACTGTTTCCCAAATGTTCGGCTTACAGAGTTACTATGTATATTCCACTTGAGATGCTGGATGAGAAAAGCATTTGGTCTAACCCAACAGAATTCCTCTTATATTCTTAAGAAAAGCAAGAAAAGATGCCTGGAGGTCACATTTGAGACAGGAGGGGGTGAATACAGAGTGATATTGTCCATTCCTGCCTTCCAGAAATGGTTGCTGGCCCTTTCTGGTGACAGGGCAGATGTGCTCTTTGCCTTGTGAAGGGAGACTGGAGGAACTGGGAATGAATACCAGTGTTGTGGTGAAGGTGCTGGCCTAGAAACCAGGAGACTCTGAGTTCTAGTCCTGCCTTAGGCATGAAAGCCAGCTGGGTGACTCTGGGCCAGTTCCTCTCTCTCAGCCCAACCCACCTCACAGGGTTGTTGTTGTGGGGAAAAGAGGAGGAGAAAGGAGCATTAGGTATGTTTGCTGCCTTGAGTTATTTATAAAAATAATAAAGGGGGGATAAAAATATAATCTTTTTATCAAATTGCTAACTGGTGCACTAGCTGATGCAGTCCAACAGAATCTAGTTGAAAACAAGCTCTTTCAACTTGTTTTGAGCAGAAAGGAAACCACCCAAACAGCAGAGGGACAAAAGGTCACCTCCTAATTGGCAAACTGGTTTTGGAAAACTCAAGAGAAGGAAGACCAACTTGAATGTAGCTTGGATTGATTACAAGAAGGTG